CTGCCCCCCAAACTTCTGCCCCTCCTAATCCTCTTCCCCCCAAACCTCTGCCCCCCAGGACCTCAAGGGCCAGTACTGGACGGACGATGACTCCGACGGGGACAATGAGTCCGAGGAGTTCCTCTATGGCGTCCAGGTAAGCGCTGTGGGTGCTGGGTCCCATGGGTGCCATGGGGGGGCTCAAGGACCCCCAACCTGAGCCCAATCCTGAGCACAAGGCTGCAGGGCGGCTATGAGTCTAACGGTGCTGGGGGTTGCTGTGCCGCAGGGGACCTGTGCCGCCGACCTGTACCGTCACCCTCAGCTGGATGCCGACATCGAGGCTGTGAAGGAGATCTACAGCGAGAATGCCGTGGCCGTCAGGTGGGTGCACCCGCTGCCCGTCAGCCCCTGCACCCAGCCCCACCATCCCTGGGCACCCAACTGTGCCGTACCCAAACACCTGGCCGTGGCATCCCTGGGGCACCCGACCATGTCGTCCCTGAGCCACCCGGCCGTGCCATCCCTGGGAACCCATCTGTGCCGTACCCAAACACCTGGCTGTGGCATCCCCAGGGCACCCAGCTGTGCCATTCCCCAGTCACCCGGCCGTGCCATCCCTGAGCCACCTGGCTGTGCCATCCCAGTCTCAGGGGTGCACACACTCGATGCACGGGGAGCTCCACATGCCTGTCACCGCCACCCGAGCCTGCCCACCTTGACACGGTGGGCAGGGGACAGTGGTTCCAGCACCAGCCTCACCCTGCCACGTTTCTTCTCAGGGAGTATGGGACCATCGACGATGTGGACATTGACCTACACGTGAACATCAGCTTCCTTGATGTGAGTCCCTGGGGTGCTCCCCACTGGCATTAGTATATGGGAAGGTCCCCAAATTTCCCTTTCTGGCTGGGGGTCCCCACGGCTGGGCCAAATCATGGCTCTCCCTTGGCAGGAGGAGGTGGCAACGGCGTGGAAGGTGCTGCGGACAGAGCCCATCGTCCTCCGCCTGCGCTTCTCCCTCTCCCAGTACCTCGATGGCCCTGGTGAGTGGGGATGGGCAGGACGTGGTGTCCCCACGTGCCCTTGGGATGGGCACAGTGGTGGCATTGTTGGCTTGTCCTCCTCTCTCTCCACTCAGAACCGTCCATTGAGGTTTTCCAGCCATCCAACAAGGAGGGCTTCGGGCTGGGTCTGCAGCTGAAGAAGTAAGAGCCAAAATGCAGTGGGCATCCAAGGTGGTGGGTGGGGTGGTCCGAGGGTTTTTCCCCAAAACCGGCTAGGTGCCACATGTCCCCATACCACCACCTCTTATCTGCCACAAAACCTCGTGACGGGCTCACCACTGGCTTTGGGGGGACGTGGAGGAGCTGGGTGGCTCAGACCACCCAACCCCCAGGCTCAGAGAGCACTGAAGCACCCATGGGTGCTGACACCCCGCTCGGGCACCCATGCCACCTCTCCGCCAGGATCCTGGGCATGTTCACGTCCCAGCAATGGAAACATCTCAGCAACGATTTCCTGAAGACCCAGCAGGAGAAGCGGCACAGTTGGTTCAAGACGAGCGGCACCATCAAGAAGTTTCGTGCTGGCCTCAGCATCTTCTCCCCCATCCCCAAGTAAGACCCTGACAGTGTCCCCAAGGGACCAACCCTCTGTCCCCTCACCCTGAGTGGCCAGAGACCTGGCACCATGCCTCAGTTTCCCCTCTCACCCCTCGGATGTTGCTGCTCCCCACCAGAGCCCAAGGAGGTAGAGGTTGCTCCCAGAAACAGCCAAAGGGGTGAACTCAGTGCTGGGTGACAGGGGAGTAGGGGATGGTGACACACCGGGGAGCTCAGGGAGATTCTGTGCCCGCAGGTCTCCCAGCTTCCCCGTCATCCAAGATTCGGTGCTCAAGGGCAAACTGGGCATCCCCGAGGCTCGTGTCAACCGCCTGATGAACCGCTCCGTCTCCTGTACGGTGAAGAACCCCAAGGTGGAGGTTTTTGGCTACCCCCCCGCCAGCACCCAGGCAGGTGTCGCCCCCTTCAACATCCTGGTGGGTGCCTCCCCGCCTCGGGGTTTGCTTTCCTCTCCTTTCCCTTCCCAGATACCTGGGGGATGCTTGGGGGTCGAATCACTTGTTGTGGGGTGATGGGACCTCCTTGGTTTGGGGGGAGCCCCTGCAGGGTTTCTCCCCTGCACCTTGTCCTCAGCACCCTTGGGTGCTCATGGGCGACCTGGGACACCAGCTGTGGGGTCCTGCAGGATTTTGCCCCCCTCTTGGTGCCATGTCCCTGCTGCAGCTGTGTCCCCAGGAGGGTGTTGGCATGTCGGGGGTCCTGCTGTGCCAGAGGGGTGTTCAGGGCCGCCTGTGCCGTGTGGAGGTGGGGGTGCATGGGGGGAAGGGGATAACGCAGCTGGCTCTGCTCCGGCTCTGGCACAGGTTGGCGGCCACTGCAAGAACGTCCCGACGCTGGAGTACGGCTTCCTCGTCCAGGTGAGTGTCCTGCATCCCGCTCAGCCTCATCCTGCTGCCTGGAGCATCCTTCCCAGAGCATCCTTCCCGCTGCCCCACCTCCCTCTCAGCCCTGTCCCACTTCCCAGAGCATCGTTTGTGCTGCCCCATGTCCCACTCATCCCCATCCCACTTCCCAGAGCATCCTTCCTGCTGCCCCACATCCCTCTCGGCCCTGTCCCACTTCCCGGAGCATCGTTTCTGCTGCCCCAGGTCCCTCTCAGCCCCATCCCGCTGCCTGGAGCATCCTCCTGAGCGCGGTGGCCACCGCGGGGGCTGACTCCCACCGTCCCGCCCCTCAGATCATGAAGTACGCGGAGCAGCGGATCCCGACGCTCAACGAGTACTGCGTGGTGTGCGACGAGCAGCACGTCTTCCAGAATGGCTCCATGCTTAAGGTGTGGTGACAGGGAGCGGGCAGCTACGGGGCTGTCACCTTGTGTCACCATCCCCGATCCATCCCGCGGCTCCTGTCCCCTCTGCAGCCGGCGGTGTGCACCCGGGAGCTCTGCGTCTTCTCCTTCTACACCCTGGGCGTCATGTCGGGCGCGGCGGAGGAGGTGGCCACGGGCGCTGAGGTAGGAGTGCACATGGCAGGGTGACCCCGCCGTCCCCTTGGGGTGCTGTCCCTTCACCTCACACTCTGTCCCCAAGGTGGTGGACCTGCTGGTGGCCATGTGTCGCGCTGCCCTGGAGTCCCCTCGCAAGAGCATCATCTTCGAGCCTTACCCCTCCGTGGTGGACCCCAACGACCCCAAAACACTTGCCTTCAACCCCAAGGTAAGCGCTGGGAGGCAACGCCCCCCATGCTGGGGGGAGATGGGGCCAGGGGGAGCCCCGAGGACCCCTCTGATGACCACCTCTTCCCTGCTCCACGTGTAGAAGAAGAACTACGAGCGGCTGCAGAAGGCCCTGGACAGCGTGATGTCCATCCGGGAGATGACCCAGGTACACCGGCCTGGCCCCACCTGAGAGCCCCCACCCCTGCTGCAGGATCCTTCCCCGGGGGGTGGAATTTTGACGCTGATCTCCATCTGCCCACGGTTGGGTGGGTGCCAGGGGACCCCCCAACACCCCCTCTCACCTCTGCCAGGGGTCCTACCTGGAGATCAAGAAGCAGATGGACAAGCTGGACCCGCTGGCCCATCCCCTCCTGCAGTGGTAAGGTTGAGTGTGCTGCGGCCCCATCCTGCTGCCCCATGTCCCTCCCGCTGCCCCATGTCCCTCCCGCTGCCCCACGTCCCCTCCCTGCTGCCCCACGTCCCCTCCCCATTGCCCTACATCCCCCGGGACAGGGCATTGGGGGTGGGGGGCAGGCAGGGATCCCCAGCACAGCCCCCTCAGCCCCTTCCTCCTGGGGGGTTGTGACCATTCACTGGCCTCAGGGCAGGATCTGTTGGGGCTCCTGGGTTGGCCCCACTCCCAGGGGAGCATGGGGCCACCCTTTCTGACCCTCCTTCTCCTCCTCTTCCTCCTCCTTTTCCTTCTCTTCCTGTTACTCTTCCTCTTCCTCCTCCTCCTCCTCCTTCTCCTCCTCCTTCTCTTCCTCCTTCTCTTCCTCCTCCTTCTCCACCTTCTCCACCTTCTCCTCCTCTTCCTCTTCCTTCTCCTGCTCTTCTTCCTCCTCCTTCTTCTCCTCCTCGTCCTCTGTCTTCTCCTCCTCCTCCTCTTCCTCCTCCTCCTCCT